ACACCTTTAATCCCAGCACTTGGGCTTCGACATCACCCGCTCACTGGTCTCCATGGGCAGTTTCTGCAGCTTCGACATCACCTGCTCACTGGTCTCCATGGGCAGTTTCTGCAGCTTCGACATCACCTGCTCACTGGTCTCCATGGGCAGTTTCTGCAGCTTCGACACGATCTGCTTAGGTTCCAGTTCCAGCATCTCAAGCTCATCATGAAGCACTTCCAGACCACAATCCATCACTGAGGGAAGCCATAGGATCTCAAACAGAAACTGAAGCAAAGCCCATAAGGATGGATGATGCAGACTGGCTTGCTCGCTTGCCTGAAGATCAAACACACAAAATATCACTACAGCAGAGATGATGGAAAGGGATAATTCTGTCTTTGCCTGGCAGAAGACATGGGTGTATTAGCAATCCAAAGACTCTTCCTAGGACACTAGTCCCTTTCTTGAGAATCATCATAGTTTCTCATAGTGGCCCATCTCTCAATACCATCAAAATGGGAGTTAGCTTCAACATGAATTTAGGGATCACGATCATTCAAATTATGGCTGCTACTATATATTGAATCATGTCTTTCCTAACCCCCAAATTGTTAAAATCCTGACTGCCCCCAACTGCCTCAAAAACTGTTAGATCTAACAGGATCTAACCAGAGTTTGGTCTTTACAGAAGTAATCAAATTAAGACAGCATCATTAGGATAAGCCCTGGCCCACGGAGATGCTTGCCCTGATAAAGAGGGAGAGCATTTGGATTTAGAGAGTGATATACTCAGTGCAGACACGTGAACATGAGATCACACAGTCATGTCAAAGACTACAGGTGAAATACCAGAAGCTAGATGAATGGCTTTGGGCAGATGTGCCCTTGAGCCCCATGGGTGCACTGGACAGATGTGCCCTTGAGCCCCATGGGTGCGAGGAGCCAACCTTGCCCACGACCCTGGGCTTCTCGGTCTCCAGGAGACCAGGGTGCCTGCTGCAGGAGCCACAAAGGAGCTGCAGTCCCTGCTCCCATTCTTCTCGCTACCCTTGACATCTTCCTCTTCCTGCCTGGCGGTTTCAGGGGTGGAGGAACCACTGCAGAGCGCACCTGCTTTTCCTAGAGAGCAGACTTTACTAGTCAGATATTTCGTTTTGAGCTTCCCTGTATCTACAACTGTGAAATTATTGTCTTTATAAATTATGCTGTAACAGGCATCGATTATGGCTACATGAACATTTGCACCTGCAGTTCCTCCTGCCAGGGGCATTGCCACACCCCACACTCCTCATGCCTGCTCTTTCACCCAGGGGCCCAGACAAAGTATCTGCTCTCAAAGCCTATGGCTAGCTCTTCCATAGTTTTGGTCCTCAGCCAGACTCCCCAAACTTTCTCAGATTCCAGTAGATATATAGATGTCATTCTTCCTAAAATGTTCTCATAATGATCTAAAATAATGATTCATCAAGCATTAGCTCAAGAGACAAAAGTTTTAATGCACAAAGAAAAAGTATTTCTAAAACTGGTTTAAATAATCATGAAAACTAAGTAGGCAACTTCCCAAAGAAATGAGAATTATTTTATGGCATGTTCAAACCCTGAGAATGGAAAGCCATTGTAACATGGTGGGTCTTCACCCGCATGAACGTGGGAATGATCCACAGGTTTTTCCAAGGGTCAGATCGCGTGACTGCCTCTTAAATGTTCTTGTGGGATCTTCCCTTCATATATGCTTCTGTGTGATTCTGGTATGCAGCCCGGATGGAGGACATTCAAAAGTTCACGGCAACGTCCGTCTTCAGGAGTCCTTGGACTCTGAAAGCCCCAGGCCAGGGCTAGCCCTGTGCACTCTGGGAGGTTGTATACAGGGTGTAGATGGGCTGGGCATAAAGCCTGTGTTCACAAGCACTGCTGTCTCTCAGATCTGGGGATTATAACAACCCTCCTCACCTGAAGGTCTATAGCCAGACCATGACCGCACCCTGAAGTTAACCCACTTATCTTGTATCAGCTAAGGGAGAGCGTGGCCATTCACCATGCCGTGGATTTCCTTGTTAGAGCCTACGGACACCACTACTAGGAATTCAGGGCCCCCTTATTGCCTCCATTGGATTCATGAGGAAGCTATAAACCAGAGAGGCAGCAGCCTTTGGACAAGTCACCCGGCTTGAGCACTCTCCTGACTCATAGCCCCATTACACTGCCTCTGGACAGTCTACATGGCCACCTGACCTTTATGCTAATAAACTGCATATTAATCTGTGTACCATAGAAATGGGAAGATGATCTAAGTGTGCTCTCATGAGTCACAGAGCTTATCACATCCAAAGAGAAAGTTTCTGAGGTTCTCAATGGCTAAGGAGGAGGAGGATCATGCACTTCAAGCCCACAGAGAAGATACTGGAAGTGCCTTAACCACACAGTTAGCAGCTTTCAGAGACATTGAGGTCTAGTTGGCTCACCTGGGTGCAAGCCACGCCCAGTTCAGGTTGCACCACTTATGGTTCATAAGGAAAGGTAATTGACTTCCGCAGTGGAGGTTCTGGAGGACGTATGTCCTGCCATGCGGCAAGGCAGGTGGACAGCAAGGTTGCAAGACTCAGAAGAGAACATGGTGTTGTATGCAGTCCTTTTCAAAGTTTGTATGGATTTTCAGGTCTAGCACTGGAGGTCAGTGACGTCCATGTGAAGTCGTACCCATGAGATGCCACATTCCCAACGGGGAAGGGAAGCTGTATCAAGTTCTCACACAGGGTCTGATCTTGAAGGAAGGGGAACTGTATTCTCAAAGCTAACATCACACAGCAGACTATGTGAGTGTTTGAAATTATATCAAAGCTTCATGACAGCATAGCATCTTTTTATTACTCCAAAGATTCTACATCCTTGGCTTTCAATAATTTAAAAAAAAAACCCACTAAAACAAAGCCCAGTGAAACCAGCCTTGGTCAGACTTGTCCTGATGAGATCTACCTGGCAGGCCCTCTATGGAATAACCATCAGAACCAGAGTCTGCCCATCTCTGAGGTCAGCCCGTAAAAGTCCATCTCCAGATTCAGCCCGTGAGAGCGCATGTCCCCACAGAGTGTCCATCCATTTCCAGGGTCAGCATGTGGGAATGCAATCTCAGCAGAACCAGGAAACGGGTGCTTGACCCTCCACGCCCATTAGCGCAGCCTTGGGACCTGCCCTTTGCCTTTATGTGAGTTTTGTCCAGATGCATATCTCATATGGGAACACTTTGGACCAGGTGCAGACTGCAGATGTGGGCACACGTTCTAGGAAAGGAAGTGGGGGGAAGAGGTACTACTCCAGTTTGGGCCCATTGACTACAACTGCCCCCCTCAGGATCATGTGGCCACTCTTGTATCTGCAGGACTCTATCTGTTAGAACTGAGGTCACCTGAGGTCCTCGAGGCTCAGGACAATGCAAACGGTGAGGCCAGTGGTGTGGCCAGCAGGGCATTTCCCACCTTCCTTCCTCAGCCCCCACCCACCCCCACCACTGTGTGATCCTTGCTGTTCTTTTTTAAAAAGAATTGACCTTTGTCACCACGCCTGTTAGTGTGAGGGACAAAGCTACATCTTACCCTTGGCCAGGAGCAGAGCTGTCATTCGTGAAGACCTCAATCATATCAGGTTCTCCTTAGCCACATCAGAGGGTTCTCATCCTCCACAGCTGGAATATCCACAGTGACTGCTTCCTCCCAGCTAGCCTGCCAGCCTGACATCTCTGGGGATGTCTGTCATCAAACCTAGCGTTACTTCCCCTGTGAAAACTTTACCAATAGGTTCCTTCCCTTTCCTGGTCACCCTGTCCCGGGCACACCTTGCTTCGTGTACCCATAACACAGTATAGCAGCACCAACACTGCTACTCACACTCCCAGGATATGGTTGGTATCTTCTGTACCCACTGCCCAGCACAGTCACATGGACAGAACTGGTGTGTGATACCTGTTTGCAGAATTGTAGAATCCATATTGCACTGATTGAGTTCTTTGGCTAGTACGGGGCCACCTTTGCCTGGAGCATGGGGTCAGGTCTACTGCTGGCTCCAACAACAGCAAAAGACCATGTAATATTTGCCATCCCTGGCTACTTGGAGCACCCGTCCCTGAGGAGCTGAAAGTAAGATATACAGAAGGAAGAGAAAAGTAAAAGCCCAGAGGCACAAGGTAGATAGGTTAATTTAAGAAAAGCTGGCAAGAAACAAGCCAAGTTAAGGCCAGGCATTTATAACTAAGAATAAGCCTCCATGTGTGATTTATTTGGGAGCTAGGTAGTGGACCCCTCAAAAAGGCAAAAGAATAAAACATCACATGACACTTGACTGAGGGCTCCCCAGTAATTCTAGCAGGAAGTAAGTCTGCCTCATAATTCTAGCAGGAAATCTGCATCGTGCACCTCCTAGAATCCATCCTGGATCCTTCTTGCAGGAAGGCACTCAGGGAGGGCCGAGAAGTAGCCTTGTAGTCTGTAGTCAGAGGACTGGCTGTGCACATGAGCTCACGTGAGTTTCTCAACAAGAGCAATCATGGGGCTCTCCCCCGCACCCAGACCCCTTCATCACCTCTAACAGCCAGGAAGTGAGCATCGTAAAGGATTTCTATGACTCCACAGGCAGTAGCTGGGTGGGGAAGGAACACTGACGGTGGAGTCGAACTTGGCCGTCACTCCTGATGGGGCATGAATTCACATGTGAGCCTAGACCTTCCCTGCTCTCTGCCTCAGTTTCTCACTGTAAAATGATGTGGAGTTATTGGCCACTTGCCCATTTCTTGTCCTGTGAACCTACACCCTCTCTGAGAAAGAGAAAAGTGAGCGTGGAGGAGACCAAGGAAGTATGGTAAAGTAATGCTTTGTTGGATGCCAAGGTGAGGGACCCACAGACAGAGACGTGCTCATTAGTGTTTCCAATATCTGGTTGCTGAATGTCCCCATGGGTGGCAGCTGACATCCAAGAGAGACGCTGTGTGGGCGTGTGCAACAGAGGATTTTATTGGCATTAACAGGAGGTCACATCGTGTCTGGGGCGTCACAAGGCATGAGGGTGAGCAGAGTATCTTCTCTCACTGTCTCGGCACTACAGAAATTGTACCTGTAAGGAAACACAGTGTTTGGTACTGGCGTGCTCTGTCAGCCTTGTGAAAGCATTAAACAACAGTGTACACGGATGTGTAGCTCAGAGGCCTGGGAGAGGCTGCGACCATCTGGATTTCCAGTATAAAGCCCACCTAGCCCAGGGAAGGGCTCGCCGTTGCTCTGAAGTGAACCCATTGCTGGTCCAGTCATACACAGACTGTGGCCCACTAAGGCAGCACCCTCCCTTCTCCCGTTTTAACAGAGGCTGATGGTCACAGTGACTGACTTAGAGGCAGTCACTGACACTTTCCTCAGCGCTCTCAAGGCTCAGCTGAAGGCCATGGCATCTATGAGAGACTGGATTCTCAGTGGCAGGCAAATACACCAAAAGGTTTACATGTGTAAACTACACTACCCGTGGGTGAGGAGGTCTTCTGATTAGCCCTGCCTACAGGAGAAGAAACTGAGTCACAGAAGGCTGTATGTAAGGTAAAGGTCCAAGATACAATCCCAAGTCTACCCTATGCTGTTGGCCATATTTTCTGTTGTAGTATTACCCATCCAAATCTCCCTTGGGCTGTCTTCCAGGGCTAGGACCAGAGAGTCTGACTTTCTCCTTGGTCCCCACATCTTTCCCACTGGCCAGTGATAACTGTTATCTGACGAACTCTTCATTGTACAAGAGGGCTCCCGCTCACGTTGTTGAGACTCCTGTGGTAATTATGCAACATCTCACGACAATAAGTGGGGGAAAGTTTCTAATAATGAAACTAACACAGACACGAGTGGCTGTTTCTGTGGTTATTGAAGAACCAAGGGCTGACACCGAGTGAGCTCTGATGCTCTGTCCCAACTGTTTTCGTTTGCTTTGCTTTTCCACAGTAGCCACTGGCAAGGTGTGCACACTCCCCTGAGGAGCCTGTTATCCATGCTCCTGTAAGCAACCCTAATGAAACCACTTGTCTCTGTTGGCCTCCTCCAACTTTCTCTTCTGTGTGTGTCTGTCTTAGACGTTTTAGCCTGGAAGCTCCGCATTTAAGTTCCAGCAGCCTGACTTCCGTTTGCCGGCCCCTCGACAGTTTATGCTGCTCCTGTCTCCCCCACCCCCATCTCCCCAGCATTCTGTGGTCTCCATCTTTCTCATGGGTCACGTGATCTGCCATGTGCACCCAAAATCTTGTTTTTCTTAACAGCTAAAGTGTAACAACTTCCTTGGTGCAGGCTGTACCTTCTCCCCCCCCCCCCCCTGTTTTCCAGGACAGGTACCCATGGACTCCTTGTCAACGTCACATTTACCACATTTACAATGGGTCCCGAATGGGATGGGGGTAGGGAGAGCAGAATGGGCTCTATTTTTCTTTTGTCTCCTATCATGGAAGAAGTCCAGTCAGCAGGCCCTAGGTAGCACTTGGAATCTCACTGAGATGACTACATCAGATTACACGGGAGAGGGAACCCAGAAGAGGTTGAGTCTCGATATTGATTTCTCATTAACTTTATAATTATCATTAGTGTTATTTAGTAAAAGCGTCCCTGGAAAATCCTCCTATTAGTAGAATCTCTGAATAATTTACTAGTTGATTTTTTTTTATTCCCCAAGCTAGTTTGTGGCAATAGGAGTGGGTTTTGACTTTCCTATATTTAACCACTGGTGTCAGATCGCTTGAGAGATTCTTAGGCCAGTAAGAAGTTCAGCAGGTAGTGGCCCTGGCAGCCCGCTAGCCTGAGTTGACCCCCAGAACACACACAGCGTAAATGAGTCCAGCAAGCTGTCCTCCGGGTTTGTGTGCACCATGACACATGCTCACACATATCTACCCGAATAAATAAATGAATGAAAACTTTAAGGGAAATTCTCCTCCCAGAGAGGAAGTAGGCAAAATATCTGTGCTCAGTCACTGGAGGGTCCGTGACAGTGATGGGCTCAGGACCACAGGGCCTCAGGAGTTGCTTCAACTAGATCTGTTAGGTTTCTAGGAAGTGAACATCTATCTTCAGAAACCTTCAGGATTCCAGTGACATTCTAATGTGTCTTTAGCCACGCGGTGGCAGGATTCGGGTCTTGGAATACTTAACAGACCTAGAGGCAGTGACTTACAATGGAGGCTCTGAGGCGAGGGGTAAGGCTCTCTACTGGCCAGCCTGGGTCTCCTCTCTCTCTGCTGTAGTCCCACTGAGAGCATGCTGAGTACGGTCGGTCACCTGACCAGTCTGATGTCTCTGCCCTCTCACCTTAGGGGAATAGGGGTGATTTCAGAAGTAGAAGTTCACCCAAGTTTGTGACCCATGGGCCAACCACAGGCCAACACTTCTTTCCCACCAGAAGAAGTGGTATTTCCAAAAGTCTGAGTTTACTGGCCCCATTTAACTACCAATCCCCAAGAACACCAGGATCAGACACTTCTCACAAAGCCTCAAAAGGTCTGCGGGTTGACTTGGGCTGGAGCTCTTTCTGCCTCCCTAGGGCATCCTATCGTCCCCATCCCAGCTCCCTCTCTTCCCCTGAAGGCCCTGTGCCTACTCAGGGAGAGATGAAGCTGTGGTGAGGATGGGATTCCTCAAGAATGGTCCCATCTGTGTTTTCTCCATCCCCTTTCAAGCGATTTCTTTTCTATCTGTTCCAGGGAGGGAATTCCCACATAGAGATCCTCTGCACACATCCCGGATAACTCAGCCAGAGAAGATACATACTCTGTTCGTTCTGCTCCCTTTTGTACAGTGATCTTGGCAGCACCCACTTTGGGGAAGCTTGGGTTTATCATGTGATTATTCCAAAGAAACTTGACTTTCTCAATTGTTCCCACATCAAGCTTGGCATCAAACTCATTGGAATGTATAGCGCCTGGTTTCATAACGCCCCTTGAAATAAAGAAGGAGACATATTCACGTTTATGGAAGCACACTAGGATGACCACAAAGAACCATGACCCACCACTCTTATCTGACTTTTAATAATGAATCTTCCAAATGTATCCTCAGTCAAAGATGGAGAAATGAAAAACTGGAAATAAGCTGGCAACCTCAATCTATTATTTAGGATTGTTTTTCAAATTCAAATTTCTCTCCTTTTTTTGTAGAAAATGATTAAATTCTCTTAAATTATTTTAGTTTTTTTTCCTAGAAGAATCATCTATATTGTAGGTTATCATCTTAACATGTGTTATCTGGAACAATAGTGGATTTTTAAAGTATAATATTAAGAAATGATTAGGTGTTTTATTTGTTGTTGTTTTTTGAGACAGGATTTCTCTATGTAACTGCCTTGGCTGTCCTGGAACTCTCTCTGTAGACCAGGCTGGCCTTGAACTTACAGAGATCCTCCTGCCTCTGCCTCCCAAGTGCTGGAAAGAAATTGTTAGGTTTAAATTAAAAATAATTGGAAGTGTAAAATTATTTTCTGAACATAAAGTAGTTTCAGACCCACTGATGTCTAGAGATGAAAATGTTTAGCAGTCTGCACACTGTACAGGGATTACCTGAAGATATCATACTGTTGAGTGTTGCCCTTGCTTCCAAACAGAGCCACTTTGGCCTCCCCAGTGACTGTTCTTCCAGACAGTGTCAAGGAGACCCGGTACCTCCAACCTGGGCAAAGCAAAGGAGTGGTCACCTCATGGACATAGAAAACAGTTGAGCCCAGATATCGCCCACATTCTTTTACAGCAGCACAGAGTGTGAGTCATCGTATTTGCTAATCCACACCTTAAATGAGCACCCAGTGGTGGCTCCTCTAGACCTACTTACAGTTACATTTATTATAAATAATATTAACTGTGCACTTCCTCAAGTTCACTAGCCAGGCTGTGGGTTTTAAACTGCCACACAGAGCCGATGGCTTTTGGATCCAACAGGGCCGAGCGAGCCCTTTGCTGGAGAAAGTTCTACTCCAGAGAGGTGGTGCTGTGTGTTGTGGCAAGAAGAGGAGCCAGGGGTACAGGCTACCCACGGGAGGATGGCTTAGTGCAAAGCACCTCCAGGCTGGGTCTGTCCTATCTCTGCATCTCTAGGATTCTGGTGCTCGGTAACTGTCATATGAACTCAAACCTAGAGCACTGTTCCAGGGCTTATGAGCATGCACAAATATCCACACACACAGACATAGCACATATACACCCAGAGGCATAGAACATGCAAACACATAAATATACATATATAGTCCATCCTTTTATACACATACGCGCACATGAACATTCAATGTATAACACATATAAACATGCAAATTCACCGTTATCTAGACATATATACACAAGCGTATACACAAGTGCATACACACCCCTGTCTAAGTCCCACGTGCTTTTACAGTCCCAGGGATGTAACCCTTTCCTTTCTCTTCTCAGGGTCAAGTTCCCCATTTGTTAATTCCAGTAGCAATCACCAAACCCAGTTCGACTAATGACTCATAAATTTCAAAACATTGGTTTGATCATCCTTCTATCCCTGTACCTAGCAACCCATATCTGTGATCCATAAATAAGTGTTGATAGGGTAATAAATGATTCCTTTGTTATAGTTAAAATAGAGGCAAGCCTTCAAAATATTACTGCATTAGTACGGGTTGATAAATCAGTCTTCTGGCAAAAAAAATATAGGCATGTGTATTTACAGTGTTGTGAAGGCCCTAAATCTCATGAAGCCATCTACCCATCTATTGCTTTGTCAAACCAGAAACATGCATGAAAGTATGTAAATTATACCTCAATACACCTGCCTTTCAGAAACTACACAAGACATATTGTTTTTATATAGCATTATAGACACATAGTTTCTGTTCTTACTGTGATACCTCATGGTATCACAAATGTAAAATCTGTCACAGATGGACCAAACATGTCTAATATGGACCTAGCATCTGAGTGCATTCAGTGGGGTTATGGAAGAAGTCATCCCTCCCTCAACTGGTCACTCCACATCAGAGAGGCACCGGGGCACATGAGTAAAGAAGGGGAGATGCCCAGACTGGGGCTGGCAAAGAGCTAGTACCAAGAATGTCTGCTGAATGAATACAGGAGTGTGTATGTGTGTGTGTGTGTGTGTGTGTGTGTGTGTGTGTGTGTGTAGAGACAGAGACGGAGACAGAGACACAGAGACAGGATGATGGGAAGAGACATAGAAAAAGAGAACAGAGAGGATGGAGAGGCAGAGAGAGAAGAGGCAGAGACAGAGGCAGAGATAGAGAGGCAGAGAGAGAGAAAGAGAGAGAGAGAGAGAGAGGCAGAGAGTGAGAAACAGAGAGAGAGAGTCCTAAAAAGGAACAGAACGATGAACTGGAGAGGGGTAAAAATTCAAGCTGTCCCCATAGGTATACAAACTGCCTCAACTCCACAAATCACACTTTGACTTCCAGTCATTCCACAGAATGGAATTAAATAAAAGTAATTTAGATGCTCTCTTCGCCTCAGAGGAACCATGCAGGGGAGGCTCAGGACAAACATGTCTTTCCCTAAGGTAATCAAACTTGTGCAGAATTCTTTCAGGTTAGAGGCAAGCTTTTCCTTATAACGGGCGTGGCACATTCTTGGCTTGAGTGAGTATCAACTTACGTGCAAAATTCTTGGCGTCGCCTGTGTTCAGGAAGAACTTCTGCGGCTCCTCACTTGTCATGTTGGCAAACTGGTCAGCATAGTGACCCATCTGTGGGCAGCCTTGGTATGGGCAGGGGAAGCACTTGTCCTAGTGAAGAGAGCAGGGGGCTGAGAAGCAGATTGGAGAGAGCTGTTGCTCCATTCCCTACAGCCCAGTTCCCCCATTTGTGACGGGAGGAGAACTGGAGCCCATTGTCTCTGAGTTTCCTCCATTTCAGTGTGCAGTGTGTTAGAATGGTCAGGGACTTTTAAACGGCACTGCTGTCTTGGGCCCGGCTTCCATCAGTTGTATTTTCCAGCACTAGGATATGAGTGGCGTCAGCTCTCCATGTTGACTGTAGCACTTACCAGTAGTTTTCCTTCTCTTTCTTTTAGACAGAATCTTATGAAAACCCGGATATTCTCTCTCTGTGTCTCTCTCCTCTCTCTCTCTCTCTCTCTCTCTCTCTCTCTCTCTCTCTCTCTCTCTCTACACACACACACACACACACACACACACACACTTTTGATACTTCCAGCCAAAGTTGTTGGGACTCTTCCCCTCCTTCACTCCCAAGGAGTATGCATTCTGAGGGACAAGGCAAACATTCGTCGAGAGGAACTGTGGATCCACACATAATAGGACCTCAGTGTATGCTGCCCACCACTCGTGGCAGAGTAATAGCTTACAGACTCAAAATCTCTGTAAGAGGTGCAGGGGTATGCAGTGAACCCATCCGGGTTGAGGATGCTCTCCAAGTAGTACTTGTAGCTTCTCAGGTGGTTACAAGCCACAAAGTCCCGGGTTCCTGAGGAGACAGGCAGGGGTCAGTACAGGCAATTGGAGGTAGGCTGTGACTGCATCTGTGCCTCTCTCTCCCAGGTCCAGAGTGAGCCTACATCTACAGAACTTAAGTTCATAATCCATTCACAAATGGCCATAAAACAATGAGGTTTTGGGTGTTGGGGGTAATGTTCCGGTTACTTCACTGGCATTGCCCCCAGACCCTCCCCTTCCCTAGCAGGCAGGTGTCCTAGAATCTCCGTGTGAAAGTATCCACAGGTGACCGGCAGAGCACAGCTGTCACAGGGGAGAGTGGTAACGAAACACAGTTCAGCTGGTGCTCAACACTGCCCCTCCAGCTTCTGAATCCAGGAGTAACACAACCAGATGCACCACATCCTCCCATGTGTGACATAAGCACCAGGACGTTGTCATGATGCTCTTATGCAAATGAAGGTCAATGTAGATTTCAGGGGCTTCAGCTGAGGGTCGTTCTTGTCTACTCTCATTCCTACAGCATTCTCCTAGGTCCTTACCCAAGACGCTTGACAAATCGCCCAGCATATCTAGAATTGGCCTGGACTTTATTGTCCTTTGCTGACGGAGCTGCCAAAGCCCAAACATGGGTCCCTAATATTTGCATTAAGGACATCTGAGCTGTTTGGACTGAACTGAGCAGAAATGACACTCATAGGATTCTATGATCCCACTAAGGATTTTAACTCGGATGCTACCAGTTGACTAGGATGGCTGAGCTGAGTCCTGAATTCTCAATCTCATTAGGCGGTATTGGAACTGTTAACTGAAGGATGTCCTTTGTCCCCATGTCTGCTCATCAATGGTAAGTGGGCAGTCCCATTCTAGCCCTCCTCATGTGATTGCTCCTCATTCCTGCTCAATAGAAGTGAGCAATGACTTGTACCGTGAAGCTAGCTTTGCCATGCCTGCCTCTGGGGCACCCTTACCCTGGTTACCGAACTGAAGCTAGCTACCTACGATTGAACCATAATATTGATTCCAGGGCATGTTTGCAGGAAAATCCTCTTGAGATATCTATGCTTGTCACTTCCCCTTCTCTATGTGGTGGCTGCCCGCTGACAGCTGGGGTTGGAACTTTGAGACTGAGGGCTGTGATTCTTTGTTGCTGAGGCAAGTACATTCATGTACATCCATGGCTGTGTTTTGAGGAAATACAGAATCAGTAGATCTGACAGTTATGTAGTTATTTTTTCCAGAACTAACATCCAGAAAAGAAAATCATATGTTTTAAAAAGGAAGTACATTTTTATGACTAAGATTTGCTCTGGGGCTGGGGAGATTGCTCAGTCAGTGAAATGCTTGCCTTGCAGGTGTGAGGTCTGAAGTTTGACCCTCAGAACCCAAGTGGAGAAAATCTAAACATGGCAGAGCATGCTTTCCGCAGCGCTGGCAAGGTGGAGACACCTCTCTAGGCCAATGAGGGACCCTGTGTCATTTTAAAAGGTGTGTAGTGTCTGAGGAGTGGCACACGAAGATCCCCACTGGTCTCCACACACACCAGGCGGGATATCTGTCATAGCAAGTACTGAGTACCCAAAGAAGCATCGTCCTCCTGGCCTGGCCCCCACGGCCTTACCTGACCAGATGCCATCTAGATCCACAATCTGCGACAGGGCATTCTTCTTGCACCCGGGCATGTTCTGTCCCCCGTTGGGGAAGAAGTCCATGTGACCCATCATTTGATTTGTTCCAAAACCTAAAATATTTGTAACAACAACGAGATGGGGTTTGGCTTGCACAGCGCTCTCAGGGTTAAAACACCAACACTCTTATCCATAGCTAGAGACTGGGACAGCAGGGGGCTCACCCAAGAATGGAATCAAAGGAGCTGCATCTGTGTGGATTACATCAACAAAGCTGGCATCGGAGGGGTCAAGCCGGACCTCTTCAGGAGTCCCTTCAAAATTTGCTTCTACGGGATCCAGTCCTAAAAGAGATGGCCCAGCAGTGTCAAACAGCTGGTCCATGAAGGACCAAGGTGTATGGCTGTACAGGCTGGGCAACATGCAATTGAATGGATACCACACTTCTAGTCATATGGTGTCATTGCCTGTCTATAGAACATGGGGCTTGGCGTCCTGGGCCACTCGTTTAAAGGGGGCTTTGTGGCAGGAGAGGAGGGCGCGTGAGAAAAGAACTCAGATTGTGTTTGAGCAAGGATTTCTTTCAACGTCAGATTCTTCCACGCATCTGTTATATTTAATATTCGCATTTTCCTGCCTTTTATCTTTGTGAAGAAAACAGAGTGCTGGGCCTGTGTGGGCTGCTGGTTCCAAATCTCTATTAAGCTACTTTTTGGAGAACTTGCATATGACTTTGAAAAAGTCATTCAAGGTTTTTGTATCTCAGTTTCCCTTTTTTACAAATTGAAGGCAAACACTTTATCAGCTTAAATAGCTGTTGATTAAATAATTTAATAGCTAATGCGTGGCACAGGGACTGGCCGGAGCTCAGTGTCCCTGGGCAAGCTGCTTGCTTCCCTGATGGAGCTTCTTTGGTTCTAAGAATTAGATGAGGAACACAGTGTTTTTTTTTTTTTTTTGTATTTAGGGTAATTAGGCACTTAACCCGTGTTCCCTTTGATAATGGCATTAATATTCTCATGTAGATATGTTCCATTGCTCCTGCTGTGATGCAAAGGCTTTGCTGCATTTGAAAGCTGCTTTGATGGTGTCAGTTAAAGGGTGTTTTTAGTGGTTTCTGCAGTTGGGATCCTTTAACCAGCAGAAAAAGGGGGCAGCAATTTCTGGGTTCCATTCTCCCCTGACTTCAAAGAGAAGGAGGAAGAAATGGGTAGTGCAGTCCCTGTTCAAGGGTACTTTCTCTGTCCGTACTAGCTATATTCTGCATTTTCCTGGGTGCTCAAAGCTGCTGCATGAACCACATCAAGGGAAAGATTGCACCCGGAGAGGAGCAGCGGGGGCCACGGCAGAAGCATCGCAGAGATGGAACACAGCCACTATCTTCCTCGCCAACAGCGATGGCCCACATGTTAATTAGAAGCACCCTAAAGTCTCCTGTCAGGGCTGTCCCCAGGTCTGCCACAGCCAAGGGGTTCAGACAGCTCTAAATTGAACTATGGGCTTATGACCATTCGAAGGTGTAGGAATGTGACCTGGGACCTTACCAGTAATCCTGCCTAGGCCTGGAGTCTGACTTCCTGCTTCCCCGGCCACATGGGCGCCTAGGCTGTGGCCGATGAGGTGAACTTTGGAAGGCGAGTAGCTGTAGTTTGTCTAGAGAGGAGAGACCACATGTCCAGGACGTGCTGGTTAGCATGGCGACCCTGCTGGGAACTTTCCCTGCTTCCTGGGGCCTCAGCATTGAGTGCTAACTCCTGACAAGGACCTCAGTACTTTCTCAAAGTGGCCCTTCCTAGACTTTTCTCCAGCTAAAATTCCCTGTGGCCTCCAAGAGCGTCCCGCTCTGTCACCCCTGGGCCTGGATTACACCACACTGTAGCCCATTTCCTATCTTCCTGCCCAGCTATCATCTAAAGATCCTGTCTCCAGCAATCCGGATGCCTCTTTCTTGGGAGGCTTCCCAAATGCCACCCCACCCCCACATACAAGGTGGATTAACCATGCTCGCATGCCTGTATAAAGCCTGCACACCTGCTCCCCCATCTCCAGAACCCTCTAACACAGAGGTTCCCAACCTTCCTAATGCTGTGATGCTTTAATACAGTTCCTCATGTTGTCGTGACCCTATCCATAAAATTATTTTCATTGCTACTTCATAACTATAATTTTGTTACTGATATGAATCATAATATAAATATCCATGTTTTCTGATGGTCTTATGTGACCCCCGTGAAAGGTCATGACCCACAGGTGGAGAGCCACTGCGCTAAGAGATCACACTCTGTGGTCATTGCAAGTCTTCCCTATATGTAGCTCCTTGAAGGCCTAGGACTCAGGGATCTCCTTTATCTCCTGCATGCTATTGCCCATCTGCTCTAGAAACACGGGATCATCACGGCGCTCACATGCAATGTTCTGTGATATCCCCCAACAGGCCTCTACACTGCTTTCTGTGCAACCCCATGGGTTCTGATTTCTGCAGCGGCGCAGAAGCAGTCGGTTCTTTCTAGACCTGTTATGCAGAAGAGATGAAATAGTGGGACCTTGACCTGGTACAGAAACTGGCCATAAAGGATTCCTGAATTAACATACAGAATGAGAGACTTAAAATATTAGTGAAGATCAAAGAGCAGCACAGGAAGAAACAACTGAAATGACCATGGCAGGAAAAATTTCAGTGGGACCCATGGTTATAGGGACCCGTGCTTATCCGTTGCATGTCCCACCTCCTGGCTCTGTTTGGCTTTCCTTGGCGGTGTCTGGCTTTGCTTTGCACAGATTCACCTTGTGTGGTGGGCAGCTCCTGGAGCCAGACGGTCTGAGCCCCAGAGACAAAATCATCTACTCACCTGCTCTGTGTTTTGGCAAGCTAGTTACCCTCTCTGTGCCTCAGTTTCCTTAACTATAAATCCAAGGGGGACAGCAAAATCCCATCACTACGTGTTAGCTGTAAATCCAAGAGGATGATAAAACCCCGTCGCTGAGTGCTCGCTGGTAAGTTTTTCTCTCACTCATGTGTCACTAAGGTGGTGCCCACTTCGTGTCTGACTTCACCTTTGCCCCCATTCCTGCAGCCCACTCACCGCAAGGACGTCAAGCATGTGAGCCACCTGGGCACCCACTACTCGCACGTTGCTGGCAGCCTGCGTGTAGGTGGTCTGAGAGCCTCCCTTCCAGTCCACACAGATGCAGTTCAGCTCCTCCACTTGGAACAGGTTCTAGGGTTGGGGAGACACAGTGTTGACATAGGGCATGGGAAATCCATCTGGACAGGGATCAGAGGTGTTCCTTATGTCTTAGGGTGCTCAGATGGACTAGACTCTGTCCAGGGGTTCCTGCAACCCTCAAGGGCAAATACTAGAAGCAGAGAAAATCCATACCCTAAAGATGAAGGAAAAGCCAGCCCCTTTGATTTCTTCAGCTAAATCTGACAAGGTGGATCAATTATACCATTAGAGGAATCGGGTGTGATGGGAAAAGACCCCAGTGTAGTGTCTGGTAATTATGAGCTATGTGACCTTGTGGTTCTGTTTGTGAGGGGTCCTTTAGGCGACATGCCAGACCACTGGGTGTTTCTTGAGCTATAAAGAGGGAGGGAGGTGTCATTTTCCACAGTCAAGTGGCATAACATTTCCTGAAGGGAACACACATGCAGGTATATAAAAACAGAAGGGCACCACTGTGAGAGAGATTGAGGAGTTAGGAAGGGAGAGACTTCCCGTGTACTCAGCCGGGTTGTGCATATCTGAGGTCTCTTCTGACCTTTTCATGACAGTGCCAACACACATGGCATCTCCAGTTTTGGACAGCTGTGTCCCTTGGAACCTCCCTTGCCAAAGCAACCCTGAGAAATCCCTCCAGATGAGAAAGTTTGGTGCTGAAAATCTAATTAACAGGATGCTCATTAAGAGTCAGGCAGAGGTGGTGCACACCTTTGATCCCAGCCCTTGGGAGGCGGAGACAGGTGGAGCTCCGTGAGTTCAAGGCCAGCCTGGTCTACAGAACGACCTCCAGGACACGCTCCAAAGCTACAGAGAAACCCTGTCTTGGAGCCCCCTGCTATCCACCCCCCCAAAGCCATCCTGCTGATCTTAGTCTGTTGTGCCCTAAGTCGTCACAGCCACAAGCCTCTGACTTTTAGGAATGTGGGAAGATTTGGACAAACAAAGCTCCACAATCCCTCATTTGCAGAAATACAGACTCTGCTGATAAAACTGAGAGCAGGAGGTCCTGAACCAGGTCTGAACAGGAAGCTTGACAGTGGTGAGGGGTGAGTTCCCAGAGCAGATTCCTGCTTTTGGCTGCAGATGTGGGTTAGGAGCAGGAAGGGGAATTGCGGCTTGGTAGAGAATCCTTTGAGTCACTGCAAAGATCTCTTGTTGGCAAGCGCATGTATTGTGGCTGTGTACCGCGAGCCAACTCAGTGGGACGTGGCGGCATGGGTCAGTCGCCTACCTTGCACATGTCCAGCACCCAGTTTTCTTCTCCTTTGTCTATGAAGCCGTGGATAATGAACCGAGTCTTCCTGGCCGTTTGGAAGTTGGAGGCCTCAATGGTTGCCGGGTCAGAGGGCTGGAGAAGCTGTGGCAACAGAAAGGGTTTCGGCGTTTTGCCAACCTGTCCCTTAAGCCTGTCTCTTTTCCCCGTTCTTGCCTGGCCCAGTGTGTTGTCCTCTCAAGGCTGAGCACCAAGTCAGCTCTTCAGGATGCCCCTCCTGACTTCTCCACTCCCGATTCCCTGCCTCCTCTGGGTCTGGGGCAGGACTTACAGGGTTACCATTCCTATGGGCTTGTTGGACAGTGAACCCTGGGCCCACACCAGAGCTACAGAGAGAGCAGGAGGATCCAGCTTCTGTGAACCGTCTGCTCACCCAGAAGGTGGGTCATGGCCTGGGGAGCTGGTACAAAGATTAGGAGATGCCTCCCAGAGAAGTCTCACCTGGAAAGCGTTTGGGTTCTCATTGGTGTAGAGCAGGAAGCGGGTGTTGATCTTCTCAGGGCTCCAAGGGAGAAGTTTTAGGGGCCTGATGGCTGTTCCTGCCCAGGGTTGAGTGTCAGAAAAGCATCCAAGTTTGTCATAGCAAACCTCTTTTCCTGAGGAGAAAGAATGGGTATACTCATGGAGAAGCTGTTGTGGCTGGGCTCCCATGCTCTCTCCTCCTTTCCAGCAGAGTTCCCTGAGCCCTGAAGCTAACGGTTTGGCGGAGACATCATCCCTTTTAGGACTGAGTCTTCCAAGGTCTCTAACTATCTGTACACTGTCTGACTATGGGTCTCTATATTTGTACTGCAGGAAGAAGTTTCTCTGATGATTACTGTGCAAGGCACGCTAACCCAGAAGCTATTTCAAATTGATAGCCCCTTGCAAATGAAAATCTGGTTTCCTCCAAAGGAGTCTCATTGGGGAAACAAACGCTCTTAGGGCAGGCCCCACACCCAGCAGTAGACAGCAGACACAAAATGAACTCAGCAGCATCTTTTGAGGTTTTTGTCTCATAATGAATTTGTTTTAACCACATGAGTCCTTTTTGTTGTGGTGTCCAATTTTGGATTTTTATGGGATTTCTGTGTGTGTGAACATATATGTCTCTGCATTTATATATAGGTTCTACACTTTTTATTTGGCTCTTTTTCTTGTTTGGGGCTTTTGCCAAAATCTTGGGGTTTTTTTTGATTTTTTTAAATTATTATTCCTTAGATTCCTGCTTTCTTTTTCCTTCCTTCCTTTCTTTTTTTGAGATGGGTTTTCTTTGTAGCTTTGGAACCTGTCCCAAAACTCGCTCTGTAGACCAGGGTGGCCTTGAACTCACAGAGATCTGCCTGCCTCTGCCTCCCGAGTGCTGAGGTTAAAGGTGTGCGCCACCAGCTCCAGGCTGCCTGTTTGTTTTCTAACAAGAGGAATAAAGGATGTGGATCCATATGGAAGGGGAGATGGGGGGTGAACTGGGAGGATCGTGGGGAGGGGGAACTGTAATGAGAATATATTGTATTAAAACAAATCTATTTTCGGTAAAATAAAAAAAATCTGAGGCATTCAAAGATCCCCTCCCAAGTTCTTCTAACATACTTGCAGAGCACCCGCTGAGAAGTCCACATTAATTAAGCAAAAGTTCATTTGTCACTTCTAGATGTTCTAAAATATTCCCTCAAAAATTCAGGCCATCAGTTCCTCCAGGCATAGGGAGCTATCCCCCCCCCCCCATTACCATCATCTCCAGGCATAGGGAGCTATCCCCCTCCATTGCCCAGCTCATTCTCCCAGGCTGTGAGTTCCACCACCTTTCCTAGAAGCCCAGCAAAGTCTGGGGCTCCTGCAAGCTTCTTCTGGGCTAAGGCTTTCTCCAGCCCTGCTGAGAGCACAGGATGAATCACACAGGATCGCACCATCACTTCCCACAGGATTGTGGTGTTGCTTACCTCGGACTGTTCCCAGGAGGAAAAGTGGGATTGTCCAGAGTATCAGCATCTACAACAAGGTCAACGATGTCACACATACGCAGCCTGGATCCACAAGCAACATCTCTTGGGAACTCAGGGCTGTCGGCCTTACCTCTGCTTTTTAGCTGATGGAGGAGGAGTAGATGCAGAGGTAGCTTATGTGGTCCAAGGAGGCAGGTGCTGGCTCCCCTGGGACCCACCGGGACCTTTTTATACCCCAGCCTTATCATTTGAACTCCAGTTCAAGCAAACAGAGAGTGATGAGAACAGAAGCTACGTGAGATTTATGCTTTAATCTGTACCTTAAGTCTGCCCTTCAATCTGTTGTGCGTATTTACACACAGATATTCCCACCAGCCTGGGAAGACAAAAGTGTCTGTAGCTTTGCACTACGTGTCTGCGAGAATCCTTAGGAGCCAAGCAGGCTCTGCTGTTCTGTTTTCAGTTTCATCACCAAGCAGTGTGCAAGAGCAGACAAGTGTCCTGAGATGAAAAGAGTATGAGTTCAAGGACTGCCTGGGCTGAGGACCAAGTTCAAGTCCACCCTGCGTGACTTAGTGAGGGTCTGTCTCAAAATAAAATAAAATAATAAAATAAATAGTTCCAGTTGTAGCTCAAAGATAGAATATTTTCTTATCATGTGCAAGACCTTGGTTTCTATTTCTAGCATGACCCCTCCCCCACCCCACTACACCCCAGTAAAGATAGCAGTAGACCTTACTAGCGAGGGGTAGTCTCTTGTGTACATTAGATGGGACGCCCTTGACAATTGGAAAGTAAAGGGAAACTTCTGTTAAGAGAATTCCCTCCCTAAGTCCCCCTCCCCTTGAAGGCTGGAAACACCCAGCCTGGAAGACTCAATGCCCCCCAACACCCTAGCACAGTCTCCAGTCCCGTTAACTTGTTGTGCAATGAGCCAATCTGAAACACAGAGTTTAAGGCAGCTGTAATGGTTGTACTATCTCATTGTAACTTGCACAGTGGGGGTTCAGGAGACCCCAAATTCCACACCAGTAGTCCATAGCAGGTCAGTGTTGTTATCCCAGATCCTGGAAAGGTTGCACAGCTGCAAGACAGACCCGACCTTGACTCACCTTCAGGTCTGTGCGCCCATAGCAGCTGGCCAGTTCCCACGAGGCAGATAAGCCTCAAAGCAAGCGTGTGGAGGTCCCAGACTTGCTTCTAAGTTAAATATGTCAAATTTACCTAAATAGCCTTAGAACTGGGGTAAAGGCCAAAGAGCCCCCCTGTTAAGAAAACAGAAAGGGCACTCATTTCCCATAATAATAAAGAGTAGCAGCCAGTTTAGGGATGTACCCCATTTGGTAAAGTAATTGCCTACCACATATGGAACTCTGGCTTCTTCCCTTAGCGCCCCCCCCCCCCCCCCCCCCCGCCACACACACACAGGTAGTGTATGCCCAACCCCAGGTGGAGGCTCAGAAGTTCAAAGTGTTCCTTGACTACCCAGCAAACTGAGGCCAGCCTGGGCTGCATGAGCCCTGGTCAAAAAGCAAACCAGAAACAGAAGCTCTAGTCATTGTGGTTCAAGCACAGCTAACATGCCAAATGATCTCACTTAAGCCTGACGTAGCCACAGCAAACAGGACTCATTGTTAGCTTCCCTTTACAGAAACTGAGGCACAAAGAAATAAACGACCCAGCTGTGAGGAAAGATGCAAACCCATTTATCATGTTGTTTTCCTCCTGTAATTTTGGGGTCAAATATAAGAAATGTTTGTCTAGACAAACGTCATTAAGTACTTTCTGTAAAAGTCCTGAAGCACTTCCCATATATTCTCTACCAAAATTTCCATGGTTTTAAACTCTTAAATTGGATTCAGTATCATTCTGTGCTCATTGTTATATAAACTAGAATGTAATCTTTGAATTACATTCTTCTCTGTGTGGACATATTTTTCCTTGAAACAATCAAGGACATTTTATTAAAGAACATTTCTATTTTCCAGTATATGTTTTAGTTCCCTTGTCAAAAACTAGCAGACTGCAGCTCCAAATGTTCTCATGAATTCTCTATCCCGCTCCACTGCGTTTCAGTGTCTGATTTACGCCAATAGCGTAGAGGTTCTAGGGCCCTCGCGCTACTTTGATGAACCCTTCCCCTCCTCTTGAAATCTAGAATCTATCACCACCCAAGTTCTGGTGTGGATTTGAAGAAAGAAAATCAAATGGGAACAGGTAAAACACAGTAGCCGTAGATGAGCTGTCGTCTTAGAAACAGAGGGAAGAGCAAATGTTTCCCTGAAGGCTGACTCGAGCTTCAGAGGGATGGCCAAACCAGTCCAGAGGTGCCAGATCACAAACCTTGAGGTGGGGCCCTGGTACAGCTCGTCATGCTGTCATTGCACCAAATTGACATGCTGCTTGCAGAGACGTTACTTTGAGGTCATGATTTGGTTACAGACTGTGGGGCCTAGAACAGGAGGCTATTTCAGAACTTTGTCCTCCTACAAAATGTATTTAGCAGTAGTTATAAACACACACTGTTAGAACCAAACAGAATGGAGCTATGTGTGCTACATGCCACATAAACTGAGCAGTGAAGCGGGAGATTCTATCAGCCCAAACAACCACAATAAGGAAGTCCCTTCTGTTTTACACAAGGAAATAACCATGAAATGACCAACCCAAGCTGTATTCTCCAGTTTCGCTTTGCCAGCACTTTTCTGCCTCTAAATCCAAACTCATCAGGTCAGAATCTAATACTGAAGTGAAATTTGCATTGAAATATTAACATCGGAATTTTGTTTTATTGGTGTTAACTCATATATTTATGAATATATCATAGCTACTGCCTCCTTACACACTCTCTAATTCTTATTCCCCTCCTATAGTCTCCCCAAATTTATAGTCTGCATATAAAAGGAATCAATTAATTAATTAATTAAACTTAGACCCTGGCAATGCTGAAGCATGCATGAGCAGCCTGTATATGGCTGTCTGTTGAACTTGTCCATATCAGGTTTCATGGTCTAAGTTGATGAGGACGACTGACCAGGTCTCTTCCTCTAGAGGGCACCAGATCTCATTACAGAAGGTTGTGAGCCACCACGTGGTTGCTGGGAATTGAACTCAGGACCTTTGGAAGATCAGGCAGTGCTCTTAGCCAAAACATGCAGGATTTGTCTTTCTGAGTCTGGTTTAGTTCATGTAACACTTTGGTTACAGAAGGTTTTTCTTCATGTCTGATTGTATATAGGCACCATGTTTTCTTTCCTCATTGGGTGATGGACAATAGCTTGTTCCATCTCTTAGCTCTTGTAAATAGAGTCACAATAAACATGAATATGCAGGTTATCCCTGCGGTAAGCAGACTAAGAGGCCACTGTGTACTTGGCAGGAGTGGTATAGCTGCATTGTGTTTCTGTCTGCAGATTTTTGAGCAACCTCTACTCTTGTTTACGTAGCCCTGCACAGTCTACACTGTGCCAGCAGTGTGCAAGGATTCCTTTTCCTCACATCCTTCCCAGAATTCTTGTTTTGTTTTCTTTATGAGAACCACTCTGATGGAGGCAAGATAGTTTCTTGCCCAAATGGCTAGCCTTGCCATATTGAAAGCAAACTCCACAAGGAGCTTCTTTGATGCCCATCATCCTCTTGAAGTAATTGGTGCTGCCAGGAACAGATGCTTCTCACTGTTGAACATATAGTTTTAAATACCACATTCTATAGGTCCTTGAAGTATTCAAAGATTGCCCATCTATTTGAAATATATGTCTGCATTCTAGAAAACATAACCAACATGACTATAAGTTTACTATGAGACTCATGGTTTGTTACATCGTATCTTGCTTCTCTGGCTGCTGCTTGCCATCTCCCTTGACTCTGTCTTCTTTCTCCCTATATTCAGTTTGGCTTTCCCACCTAGCTACATTCTGCCCTTCCATAGGCCAAAGCAGATTTATTCATCAACCAATAAAAGCAACACATAATCACAGTATGCAGAAGGGCATTCTACAGTGTGTGTGTGTGTGTGTGTGTGTGTGTGTGTGTGTGTGCCTGCTACAGCACACCTATGGATGTCAGAGAAAAACTTGCATGACATAAGGCTCTCCTACCATGTAGGCTCCTGAGATCAAGCTCAGATAGTCAGGCTAGGTGGCTAGCACCTTTACTGACCCATCTTGCCTGCCTTTTCCAAGGTCTTAAATTTTTCATTGTAAAGGTCTTTCATCTTCTCTTAGGTTTATTCCCAAGTATTTCGGCTTTTTTGAAGCTGTTGTGAAAGGGATTTACCCCTAAGTTCTTCCTTGGCAAGCTCATTATTGGTGAAAGTTACTGATTTTCCATATGCTGAATTTTCACTTTGTTATTTTGAAGAAATATGTATCAGGTTTAAAAACTTCTTGGTGGAATTATCTTCTTGGTCTTTTGATCATAGGATCATGCTGTCCACAAATACTGGTTCTTTGACGTCTTCTTCCCCTTTTACATCTTGTCTCTTGTCGTATTGCTCTAGCCAGGATTGTGAGCACTGTGCTGAGTAGCAGTGACGTACGCAGGCAGAGAGGGGCAATGGCAGTGCTTGCAGGTTCTCCTCACCAGCACAAAGTTGACTACTGTGTTGAAGGCAGCCTTTATGTGGCAAGGTATGGTCTTTCTGGTTCTAGTTTCTCGTGGGCTTTTATCAGATACTGAACTTTGTCAAATTCCTGCATCTGTTGAGATGATCATGTGATTTATGTCCTTAAGTCTGTGTTGTGTTTTTTATTTGCATATATTGAACATTGTATTTCCTAAAGATGAAACCAAGTTGTTTATGAAATACATCTTCTTTTAATATGTTATTTGCTTATTATTTATTTATATTTCTGAGACAGAATTTCACTACTGTTCAGACTGGCCTTGGACTCATGGTGATCCTTCCTCCTCAGTCTGCTAGAATTGTAGGCTTGTGCACAATGCCAGGCATCAGTGAACTCTTTGAATACAAATTTCAAGTTTATTGAGGATCTTTGCATATGTACTCATAAGGGATATTAACCTATAGTTTCCTATTTCTGTGGT